TTGAAAACAGAGCTCTAATATCAGCTGCCAATATTACAACACGCAAATTCTTTACCCAAGAATTCCAATTCATTGTTGTCATTTGGCGTGTAAGGCTGCTGCAACAGTTTCCTCTCTGTATTATTTTAAGTCAAAAACCTGTCTCCCCCTCGTCTTATTCCCTCCTTGAGACCCCCCACTACTAGCGTAAGTCTATGGATTCACAAACTGCAAGAGCTCAAAAATGGGTCTTGGAACCCTAGAGACGAGAAAATGAATAAAACTTAGAAAGTGCAAATTCCCGATTAATTTTTCTAGCAAGCATGTATCAATGTGAAAGGTAATAGTGATTCTAGGACTTGATTCCAATAGTTCTTCGCTGTGAAAACTGACTACAATACAAAAAAGGACAGTGTAAGTCACAAAAACAACCTCCAAAAAAATGGTAACGAACGCTTATCTAAACAGCACCTCAGAATCACAAAAAGGATTGAAGTTCACAACAACAAGTAAAGAGTAACAAACTCGCACCAAATGACAAACCCCCACCGTCAATCATAACAAAATTGCTACCATTACACCTCAACAACCGAAGCCAAATAGCAACCTCCTCTAAACAAAATACTTTTCAAGCCGTTGTGCACAATGAGGATTTCTCTCTCGAAGATTCCAGGCCCTTTCTCAAGCCCCGCCCACCACACATACTGTATAAAATCGTGCTAAGAGCCATTTTTTGAAACTATTTGAGAGCGGGAGCTACTGGCAACCCACATGGCAACTGGTCTTAACTGCCAGTGTACAATTGCTTCTATCGTATTTAAGGCTGTAGGGGAACTTTCCTGGCGTTGTGCCACAAATTGTAATCCTCCCAAATTTCACAATTTAGAACTTTCCATTAACGAAATTCCAGCGGTAGCAGGTTTGCCTTGTAAAGCATTTGCAGATAAAAGGCAAATTCGAGATGCTCGTCGTCTGTTCCATTTAGCGAGCTGAATGGAGTCTTCGAAAGTTAAATATTTGAGTAAGGTCTAGTAAGCAACTTTCAGTTCAATTAAACTGCATTTTTACTTTATTCAGTGGCATTGCGTTCTCTTAACTTCTTCGCCAGTTCGGTATATTTTTGTGAAGAAAAACAGGTAGATAATCGTTCGGGTACTTTCGCTGGGTGCTAATGGCGCTAATGCATGTAATGTTGGCAACCGCAAATTTGATTTCTAACGCTGATGTTAGGGACAGCAAAAATTCCATTTTTGACCTCAGCTTTCGATGATACTTCATGAACAATTTCGGTATGTCTGTGCGCTGTTCGCACATTTCTTCTTTGCTCTTTAAGGTTTAGTGCTGAACCATGCTCTAAGCCTGTGTACATTTTGAGTAGTGTAATGGACAACAGCTGTGTTTTGTAAACTTAGTTCTAGAAATCTGAAAAAGATTTTGTATCCTTCTCAATTTCAATACTCTACAGACAATTCGATTCTCTGGCCATTTCCTGGTCGAATCCAAATACTCGAGCAGTTACAGCTTTGCCGTTTACAAATGAACTACTGACTCTTACTTATGAAGTAACGAAAGAATTTATCAAAAAAAAAATCCGTCGGCGCAGCGGACATCATTTGAAATCCCGCAAGCGGCTCAAGAAAGGACCGTTTTGCGCCGGAACAAAAACTAATTTTGAAGTCTGCTTTACTCCTGGGAATTTTTTGATCTGACTTTTGCTCTCCATTCATTGAAAGTTTACTTTATAAAAGCTGTCAAATCAAGCGCCACCACAGTGGGAGAAGTCCTAGAAGAAGAGCGAAAAGTTGACTGTTGGTAGAGTCGAAGAGGACGAAGTGTTGCTGCAGTGGCGTTTGTTGTCTGCTATTCGACTTGATAGGACGGCATTCTGAAACTATATAAGGGGTAAATTATTGTTTAGCCCTGGATTCTTAGGAAATAAAAAACCAATTAATAAAAGGGAGTTGCAGCTGAAGTAGAAGCATTTGATTGCGAAATATGAATAAAGAAAAGCTGTGAACTTCATATACAAACATAAAGATGTTTCACTGGCAAAAAAGTGAATTGCAGAGGTAAAGGATGCACTATGTTTGGATGCACTAGTGCTTTCTGGTTGTTTTTTAGTTAAATGGTCACATTAGTACTTTTGCTTGGAATTTATTGTTATAAATGCACTTAGGAATTTCGATAATGATGACAAGGCGTAGATTCAATGTAATATCGTGCAATTAGAATACGCTGGAAACTTCTGGGCTTTTAAAGTCTTGAAGACATTTTGAGATGATTTATATGCGTATCAACAGGTGGAACTCTGCGGTTAAATAGGCCTTTTCTTCTTTGTGTTCGTATCATTGAAAACGGAAGTGCAATTTTTTTATGCGAGACCATCCGTAGAAATCGCTTTTGGGCCCCATGGTGGGCCGTAGATGAAGTCATTTGGAGCGCCTTATTCATTAGAATTAAAAGGTGGTACGCAGCTAGTTCTTGTTTCTTCAAAAAAAAGGAAGGTTTCTCGACATTAAGTTGTTTAGGACGAAAACGTACGGTAGAGAAAATGGTAATTAAAGTTTATTAGGGCATACTTTTGTTGCGGTCTTTACTGGTTTAAAGTGTACTATCTTCCATGTCTCATTTTTGGCCGACCCTAATTGCTTAGGTCGAAGAAAGAAGTTTCGGTTGAGGACAATTTAGTTGGAGTCGGCTTTCCGTCGAAGCTGATTTTTTGCGCTCAAGAACGTGCTTTTTTTCTTGACAATACATTTTTAATGCAAAAATTTTTGACTGGTACATAGATCTGCAACGGACAGTTTTTTAAGGAAGCAAAAATTTCATTGTCTGCTACTAGGTAGCAATATTTTGGTGGTTTTTAGGAGAAGCAATTTTTTTTCAGAGATTCCCTGTTGAGGTACTGTAACCTCTGAAGTGCTACTGACATGCTGCCTAAAACCACTGGATTTTGGGAGCAATTATGTGGTTCCGGTAACTTGTTGAGATGGCATCTCTAAGTGAGATACGTATAAGATCTTTGTTTACCTTGTTTATTTGCTAGGAAACAAAGTAACTTGTTCTACAGTCCGAAAAAAATAATTTCATTTGAAATGGTGGGTAGAAACTCTGTAACAATTGTTAGTTTTGATGCTCTTATAAAGTGTGAATCTCGAAGCAGTTGTTGTCTTGTGGAAATGTAAAAAAAAGAAAGATTCTAAACATTGAAAATATGTACGCTTACACTAAGCCTTCAGCTTCATGAGTTCTAATTTACTTCTCCAGGATACATAGATGCTGCCAAAAAAAAGTTTCTATTTTGAAAAGTTATTATTTAAAATGAAATTGTTTTGGCCCCAGAAGTTTAAACAGCATTTTTGGGTAAGATACTTAGAGGATTCTGTCGTTGTGTCTTGAAAGGCATTTTCTTTTCTTCCAAGATATATCAGAAACTTTCATAATTTTGGAAACGCATTAATTGCGGCCAGCTGAAAGGTAGAGGGTGGTCTTCAGCAATTTTTGAGAAATCACTTAATAGACGGAGAGATTTAGAATTAAGCCAGTAGTTATCAATTTTTAAGGTGTTCTTTTGTTTTCTTCTGTGTTCTACGTATATGTTTGTTGCGTCGATGGACAGAGATTATTATTACATCTGTGTATTACATCTGCTCAAAATCTAGAGGCAAAGAGGCGTCTAGTCAAGTGTGGCTTGTGTGGCAGACGACCAGGCAGATGGGCGGGGGTTTTATAGGAGAGTTGGCTGGGGTGACTGAAATTTGCAAAAGAACACCTCGACCGGAGTTAACCTCGGTGGGGACGGTAATTTCAAAGTTCAATGACATCCTTAAATGGAGACAGCTGTGTTTGATGCCGTCTCAGCGATTTCGAGGAAGAGGGTCCGTAATGGTTTAGGGCACATTTCACCATAAAGTTTTCACCCTCCTATTGAGTGGCATCGTATGTGAACATATGTATGTCCAGGGCATTTGCAGCATCCTCCAACGGCTTGATATTCCAACCGAACAATAATCCGAGATATTCTTCGCTGGGAGCCGACCACTGAGCATCCAATAATCGTGCAAGCGTAATGAAATGGGTGTCGCATTCGCCAAATTTAATTAATTTTAGGATTGGGAGTTAAATCAAGAAGGTGGTTCAAAAAGAAAGGCTGAGTACCTTTGAGGGGCTAAACAAATTAATAATCACTACTTGGCAGGACCTTTCAGTGTTAATGTACAAGGACTGGTTTGAAGGTATGCTTAATCGCTGATAAGCTGTCATTTGGAATAATGGCTGTTCCAATGAAAATACTGATTCGGAAACATACGTTCTTTTTGGTTGTATTCTCTTGTATTTTAAATTTGTAAAATATTTTTTTGCGTCGTCTTGCATATGAAAAAAGTGACCTATTTCTATTTTCACACCTTTAATTGTTTCTATCTTGCAAATGTGTTGATTATTTCACTTTGCTCTTGTCTTTATAAAGACTTCCTATTTACACGTCTAAACGCAGTAACACCTATATAATGTGGGCCACTCCGCTCAAGGTAACAAGTAGTGAAAAAGTAGTAAAAAAAAGTAACAAGTAGTTTTCCCGACCTGAAAATTTTAATTTTCTAACGGCATCTGTAGCGGGTGTTCATTTACTTTGCATTTGTGTCCATCGTATCCTTTGTATCAGGTTTGTCGTCCGGCCATTTTTTCTTTACCAGGCGCAGTTTGAAACAGTGAACACTTTTTACCATTAGTGAGCGTGAAAATTAAAAATGCGTAATCGCGGGTTAGTGGATATTCACCTTTGCCGCATTTTCCAGTGCATATCATCTAATACCTGTATGTTGTGTTGACAAAGGATTTTGGTTAGGAATGGACTTAGCGCGTCTTTTCCTCGCTTCTTGAGAAAATCACTATGTTTTGGGTGCCTGTCACTTTGACTGTAATAATCGTAACAATAATCGTAACACGGTGTATTGTACTCCGTTTTTTGGTTTTTCAAACATTTATTAGGTGTGCCTATATTAAAATGGCTCATGATTGAAGTAAATGATTTTGCAATCAAAAATGACCCTATTTCTTCCTCTCTCCTTTCAATTGCTTCTGAGGAGCTGTTTTTTCAGCCTGCAGACTTCTTGGTCCTCCAAGGCATCAAGAATTTTCTCTGGAAAAGCGCTGTCGCTTTAGTTCAGATCCTGAAGTGAGGTAGTAGGATTATATTATCCAGTGACATTCAAATCAGTAGTTTTCAGTGTAAGGTTAGTAGCAAATTTTAAAATGAAGTCTTTTACTTGTTTTTATGAATGGTTCTTTGAAAGTTTAGGAGTTTTGCATGGGTGGACATACACTTTTCATTGGTTCATCAGGTGCACTTCCATTCACCTTCAGTAAGTTCGAAGTGCATTTTAACTATTACTTCTCAGAAGTTTAGTTCTGGCATTTACTTTTGCAATTCATTTGCTTTCTCAGCTCATTTTTGTTACTGCTATAGTGCGATGGATAGTTTCTTATGTTTAAACGTGAGCATTTACTTGTAGGGCGTCGATCCTCCAATCACATGGTTACTGTGGATCTGAGGGTCAATTTTTACGATACTGGTAGATATCTAGTGGTAAACAGACGGATCTAAGGTATTCGATCCGTCTGTTTACCACTAGATATCTACCAGTATCGTAAAAATAAACGGTGAAGGTACTTTAAATAGGAGATCAGATGACGAGAAAGGAGGAGGGAGACAGCTTTTTGGTTCTGAACGTTAATAAAACATCCCGGTTTCATATTAATTCCTTATTAAAATCATAACAAATAAGAGTGAAGGTGTGTCTTCTGTGTTTACGAAAAGTATTGTTCGCTTTGTGTCTTCCTCGTCGGTTAAGAGCTCTAAAGAGAAACTGCTTTCAGGGATGGAAACCTCACTTTCATGCGAGAGTCTGTTCTGCAAGTTTTGAGCGGTGTCTGTTTTACTATTGCATGGTCTCATTTCAGTGACAAAGGTCAAACATTGGGAAAAGTCACGGGTATCTCGAAAAAAGAGTCCCGAATTAAGATTATATAAAAAGAAATTTGCATTGTTATAAACTTACTTCGTAGCTTTTTTGACTAATCTTTTTGTGCAGACCTGTATGTTGAATAAGTTCAGTAAACATCTTTGATTAAGAGCCGGACGAGAAATAAAAGAGAAATGAAGTATGACCGGAGGTCTTGAACATTCCTGATTGCGTGAAAATACAAGATTATCTATGAAAGTATCATTTTTTGAATGGTACGGGATTTTATTTTTGGTTTTAGAACCAAAAGAGGAGTAAAGAGAAACTTATTTCAGAGTTTGTTAGTTCCATACTTCACTGTTTCCAAAACGTTATTGTGAACTCTCAGTACACTACAACAGAACATATGACAGTAACTGTCACAATGGTTCTCTTAGACAGTTGTTCCTGTATAACTGCAACATAAGCCTCAACCTGAACCCCGCTAACCCACCGGATTACGTCACAACCATCACGGTACTAAGTTGCTGTTCGTAGATTTTCCTCAATGCCTAAACATTTCTAAGACTGGTTTCAGTGCAGTCTAATGTACTGAACACTCCCCATTGCTGGAAACCGACATTTATAATGGATGCTCTTTAAGTCATCAACAAACAACACTAACTTTAAAAAATTTTATTTTTATTCATCACTTATGCAGAATCTTTTCACATCAAATTTGGACAGTTGAACGCATCAACAAGTGAAACATTTCATTTAATAATCGAGTTTTAACCACTCATCAGTAAAACGAAGTTTCCAATTTGATCACTAGTTTTTGAATTGTAAATGAAATGAAGCAAGAAGAAACACTGACAACTCCTAACAAAGTCCACTTGCAGTCATGATTAGAACCTCATAGAAAATTAAAGTGATCATTTCTGTCCCTTTTGCAAGCATGACCATTAATCACCAGCAAAATCTACGCTATCATATGTTGAAAAAAAAAAAATTTCGGTCAAAGAACAACAGAGTTTGCCAACACTGTTTTCTGACAAAAACAAAAAACTTTTCTTAACGTAGTGGCAAATACAAAAATACAAAATGCTTTGAGCGTTAAAGTCAAGTCTTCTTCTTTTTAATAGCATTGATATTCATGAAACGTAACTTCCATGACAGAAGGAAAACACGCAAGGAAGAAAATACATGATGCCAAAACAGTAATACTTACTTTAGTCAAATAATACAGTACATATAAAAAGAATAACAAGCAGAAAATCAAATTTCAAAATTACGGACAAAACGTCTGTTCAGAAACAGTTTAAAATTGACAAAGGGAATCAGGGGAAGTAAAACAGATTCCACCGCGTCTCAGCGAAGTCCTCAATGAATACATCAAAATAACTGAAACCGAATAAAAAAACGCAAGGAAAAAATCCCGCTGAATCGGCTCTGGCCTACCAGTTACAAGAACTGCCAAAACCAAACATGGCGGTATGCTACCCGAATGACATGCTAATATTAATGGGTTTAAAATTCTTTCACACAAGTTCAGAAAGAACAAGTGCTCAACAGCAAAATAATTCCAAACAACTTATACGTATCAAACGTCGACAGGGTTTTACATTCTTAAAACACAAATTATTACGAATACAACTGGTCGACGACCAAAGAGGAGATAGAGGAAAAACAAGAAAAAAGTAATATGATACCGGTAATAAAAATGAACAGCGCCAAGCTAAAAGCTAAAAAGGAAAAGTAGGCGGTAGGATAGATTTAGCACACATACCGCAAGCTCACAAGGAACTGGCTAAAAAAAGTAGTTTTTCAAGAAGTTCCCATCAGCCGACTACTAGTTATTAACCGATGGTCTAACCAATGCTAAACAACAAATCCTGATTTCATACCTATCAAATTAGAGTACTATGATGATTTACATCCATAGCACTTCCATAGTCTTCTTCTATAAATATTACTCTTATCTTGCTTCATCGCGCTCTAAAAATATATCTCAGCTGCAAGAAAAGGCGTAAAATAACTCGACGCTTGTTACTATTTCTCATCATTAATCCAAAGTTAGCGCAGCATAACATGTCAACAGCTCAAAAAAAAAAAAAAACTCAAACATAAAAAATAAACAAATAATAGAGATCGACAGTTGAACAACAACAAAACTTCAAATAATTAAACACCTCAACTTAAGCCAAAAACAACGTGAAAAAACTTTTTTAAAGACAAGGTCAAGGCAGGGTTAAAATTGCCGATGTTAAACCAAAAATTTTCAAATCAAGACTATGTTATAAGAAAATTAAGAATTCAGTGCCTCCAAAACTTATGAAGTCTACCTGCCTCAGCAATGATAACATGAAGCATTAAAAAATAATGAGTATTACGATAAAGAGGTTTCGAGATCAATACAAAACCTCGTAAACGCTAGCTTTCTTTTCACCGGATCCGGTCACAACAAAAGAGTCATCTGCAGATATATCGCACGATAAAACGGAAGAACTTTCTTTCGCCTGTAGTAACCGATAACCATACGGCGTCCTCCAAGCGTTCAGTACATTATCCTTTCCAGTCGAAACAAACCATTTACCCGAACGAGCAAATTTTAGCGATAAAACGCAACTTTCATGCTGATGCAAAGAGTATCTGCAATTGCTAGAAAATTTCTCTACCCAGTTTATCAAAACAGTGGTTTTTTAGGATGGTGAGCAAGTCGTTGAGTTTCGAATGGAAAGAAAAAAAAAA